CTGCTGGGGGGCGGGGTGGACATCAGGAGGGGCCACTGCCCCACAGACGACCCCCAGCAGAAGACTGGGGCCTTTGGCCAGCGCAGGCTCCACCCGTCCCGACCCTTGAGGCAGGGAGGCCCCACCCACTGTCGACAGGTTCTAGACCTCACCCTGCTTCCGCAAACGTTTCCGGGTGCAAAGACCCCTCTGGGCTGGGGTGGAATGGGGGAGGGGAGCCCTAGGATGGGGTTTTGTTTTCCTCCAAAGGCATCAGGTGCCCAGGACCAAACTCCTCCCCCCGACCCGCCTCTCGCCCTTCCCTGGCTTCTATTTCCAGCTCTCCTTGGCTATTTATAGCTGTGTCCATCTGGCAATTGCGTCAGTCCGGGTCTGGCTTTGGCCGGCGATGCCAACGGTGCCACCAGTGCCCCCACAACCCCCTACCCTTCCCAGGCATTCACCTGCCCTTCGAGGTCCTAGTTGGAGGCCCCAGGGGTGTAGGGAATGGGAGGGTGTTCTGCAGGTGCGCTCAGCCCGGAGCGCGAGGGTGCAAGTGGTGGAGAGGAGTGGGAGGGCACTGCACTCCGCGGAGGGCAGCAGAATTCTGGAGGGGAAGGAGTAAGCGGTATCTTCCCCTTTCCTTCCCAGAGCTTCCTCTTGGGAGCTGTGTGGGGACAGGCCACTGTTCCTTGGTTTCACAGGTGGTATCTGCAAAGACTAGCAGAGATGCCCTTGGGCCTAGTACCCCCCACCCCCTGCACCTTCCAGAATGAAGGCCCTTCACTGAGTTCCCCTCCTCTTACCCCCCGGCCAACTGAGGCCACCCTCTGCTCAGCATGTCATTCAACTCCAGTTCAGCTCCAATACCCCTCTCCTCCCTGAGACCACCCCCTGCCCAGAGCCTTCTGGAGGGGGACATTGAAGGGCTCTGAAGCAAGACAAGTCTCCCTGCTTAGTTTGGAAGGACTGAAGGGTGCCCACCCAGGCACCAGCCTGGTGTTTGGCGAAGGCCTGCCCCGGCATCACCCTGCTTGAAGGTGGCGGGCACAAGCATGCTCCCTTCACCCTGCGAGGGTCCCCTCTGAGCTCTGGTCCTCACAGTCAGGGGCCACTCCCTTCACAAAGCCATCATCACACCTTCAGGGGCCCAACTCCTTCCATAAAGGCTCCTGTCTAGACCCATTCCCGGGGGCAGGAGTGGGCCCTGGGACGGTGGGCTGCCTCACCCCTGGGCCAGAAGGGTGTGCTTTCTCTGGAGGAAATCACACCCCCGAGCCCCAGCTGCCTGGAGGGAACGTGGAGTTTTCCCACTCAATCCTGCCCCTCCTGGAGTTTCCTGGGCTGCACCTGGCCAGCCCTAATGCCCTCCAAGAGGCAGAGGTCCCACGGTGGGAACCAGGGCTGAAGTCACCACCTGGCACAGCTGGAGGCTCAGGGGTGTCCAGGAAGGTCCTGTGCCCTTCATCCTCAAAGCGCCGCTGCCCCTTGGCTCCCAGTTCCTGTGATTTTCAGATCCACTTCTGGGCCCCCAGCCTGTGAGCACCGGCTAGGTAGGTAGACAAGAGGTGACCGAGCAGAGCCAGGCACCGGGGCCGTCCGGGTTTGGGTCTGGCTTCCACACTGGCTGCAGTTCGTCCTCCCCCTGGCCAGCAAAGTCTCCGAGCCCCATTCCTGCCCCTGGCTGGAGGGTTGGGCGAGGAATCACACGGGGCATTCATTGCGAAGCTCTGCTGAGAATCAGCCTCTACGCTCTGGCCCGTCTGTCCAGGGCCTGCCCTGTGCCCTGCGCCCTTCCTGGGAGGTCAGGGCAACCTCTGTTCATGTCCATTTTGTAGGCTCCTGAAAGACTCCATGGCTTCCCTTTAGTGGCAGGTCTCCCCTCATCTTGTCCCCAAGGAACCACTCTTCTTAGACACTCCCCCAGCCCACCCACCGTTCAGAGTCTCATCCAGCTGCACCCTCTTCCCGTAGGCTTCGCCTTGGCCAGAGGCCGTCAGCTTCTGCCTGGCCCCCAGCAGGACGCTCCTCCCTCCACTCTTCCTCCCATGCTGTGGACCTTTGCCCATGTGCCCCCAGCCCCTCCAAACACAACCTGGCCTTCAGAGGCCAAAACTCTGTCTTCTCCTGGAAGTCTTCCTGAGAACTGGCTCTCTGCCCTTTGTCCTGCTCGGAATCTCTTCCATTCTGAGCCCTGGAAGGGCCTTGGTAAGTCCATCCACAGGAGTTCGGTGGGAGTTGGCAGGGGCGCCACTGAGACTAGCCTCCGGGTCGCTTTCAGGCACTGCTTGGCAGGCAGAGGAATGGTACCTGGGAGACCAGGAACCAAACCCAGCCCCAACTTTGCCCTTGACCCTCTAAGGGACATTGACCAAGCCCGTTCCTCTCCCTGGGCCTTGAAGAGGGTTTAACTGGGTCTCTCCTGTGATGTCCCACTCCAGGACAGTTGGTATGTGGCTTATTCACTGCGCATTCACTGGGTACCTTCTATATGCAAAGACCAGGTGCCTGTTTGTAGTCCAATGGAGAATGGAGGTAAGCACACACCTTCAATCTAAGACTCACAGAAGTGCTCCTAACACAGTATAACATTATTAGCCACCCACCTTCACTCCCTCCCTCTCATTTACCCACCATCCACTTCCTATCCACCCAATCACTTATCTACCTAACCACCCATCCTTCCTTCCCTTCCACTCCCTAGCCACCCATCCACGTGTCTATTTATGAATATTCATTTATGTATTCATTTATCCATCCACCCTACTCATCATTCCATCCGTTCATCCACCTGCCCATCCATCCATCCATCATCCCTCCCACTCATTCCTCCCCCATCCATCCATCTACCCATCCACCCATGCATACATCCTTATCCATCCATCCAGCCACCCCTCCGGCCCCCTACCCATTCATCCATCCATCCATCCACCCATGCATCTACCCACTTATTCACATATCCATCCATCCATCCATCTACCCACCCACCTACCCACCCCACTCATCCCTCCACCCATTTATCCTTCCATTCATCCATCCATACACCCATGCATCCACCCACTTACTCACACATCCATCCATCCATCCATCCATCCATCTACCCACCCGCCCATCCACTCCAGATTCCTCCACCCATTCATCCATCTGCCCACCCATCCATTCATCCCTCCACCCATTCATCCATCCATCCACTCATACATCCACCCACCCACCCACCCCACTCATCCCTCCACCCATTCATCCATCTGCCCATCCATAAATTCACCTATCCATCCATCCATCTCCCTCCCTCCTCCACCCATCTACCCACCCATCCAAGACCCATCTAGCACCTAAAGCTCTTGGCCCTGGGGGAGACACAGGTGTAGGCAGGACATCAAGTCTTTAGGGGCCCCTGTGTAGCAGTTGGAGACCAGTGTTCAACTCTTGCTTCACCACCTACTTTGGGCAGCTCTTGGACTTGTAGGAGCCTGGTTGAGCTGGTAAATGAGACCCCCCCTCTCCATCTGGAGTCCTACACTGCCCCCAGGGTCCCGAGACCTGTGTGCCCCAGATGGTCATCCTAGTGGAGGCCCTGTCGCCCACCTCCTGCTGCTGCAAGTGCCCTCATGCACGAGGGGTAGGGGAGCACCTCAGTGCTGCTTGAGTCAGCCGTCAGCTCTTTCCAGACCTCGGTTTTATTGACTACTGGGGGCTGCCAGAGTTATAAATAGATGTTCTTCAGCCAAAAATAGCCTTTCGGGAGCATCAGACTGATTTCGAGCTTTCCTCCTTTTTGAAGACTCTTAAGGATGCGGGATTAAAGGACCCTGCCTCCTCCTGCAGCCCCCAAGGAGGGGCTGGCCCCCTCCTCTTCTCCTCTCTTGCTTCCTCTTCCTCCCGTCTCATGAGCGCTCACACATACACGATCTGGGCAGTGTCACTGGTTGGGAGAGGTCCTTGGAGTGGGCACGATAAACCTGGAAGAAGCTGCATGAGCCAGAGGGCTGTGTGGTAAGCACTGATCTGGTATCTTCCACTGAGGTGTGAGTACGCCTCAGCCCAGGCTGCGCACACACTGTGAATCTTTGCAGCGTGTGGGACTGGTAGCAGCCAGGTCTGCCCTGGGGCAGCGGGGTGGGGGCTGCAGGCCGGGCTGGGGCTGCCTCCAGGGAGAGGAACTGGAGGCTTGGGGAGACAAACCAGTACTTCCTGCCATGTGCCCAGGTGTGCCTTGGATCCTTGTACGATGTGCACATTACCTAAGATTTGAAAAGTTGGCTGGAGGCCGGGCGTGGTGGCTCATACCTGTAATCCCAGCACTTTGGGAGCCGAAGCGGGCAGATCACTTGAGGTCAGGACTTCGAGACCAACCTGGTCAACATGGTAAAACCCCATCTCTACTAAAAACACAAAAATTAGCCAAGTGTGCTGGCACGTGCCTGTAATCCAGCTACTTGGGAGGTTGAGGCAGGGGAATCGCTTGAACCCGGGACTCGGAGGTTGCAGTGAGCTGAGATTGCGTCACTGCACTCCAGCCGGGGTGACACAGCAAGACTCTGTCTCAAAAAAAAAAAAAAAAAAAAAAAAAAAGAAAGAAAGAAAAAGAAAAGCTGGTTGTAGATACTATATACAGCTAAACCCGTTTCTGCTGGTCTGTACACGCACCCACACACACGCACGCGAGCACACTCAGGATGGGGAGGGAAGCGTCCGACTCTTCACACGGATTGCAGGAGTGGGGGAGTTGATGGGTAACACTGAGGTTTTATTTTTTATCGTTTGAAGTTATTTAAGCTTGTACTAGCACGTAACAGCCGAAACAGCGTGTTTTCCACCCTAAAAGTGCAGCTGAGGACCTGTGCCCATGCCTGGCCCCAGGGCCTGTTCTCAGAGCAGGGTGACCGTATGAGCCCGGGGCAAGTTTCCAGGCCCAGCACACCAGGGGCCTGGCCTCAGGGAGCCTCAGGCCTGCTCTCCCAGTGGCCTCTGCCCCTACCCGGCCCACCACCAGTCCGAAGGAAGAGGCAGCGAGCCAGGGGGAAAACATCCACTTTAAGCTTTATTACAACACATTGTCTCCAAATACAAAGGGAGGGGCCAGGAGCAGAAGGTGCGGCCGCGGAGTGAGGGGCTCCAAGGGGGGCTGAGGGCCGGCAGCCCAGTCCACAGAGACTGGAGGCTCGGCAGGGGACCTGCACCCACTCCTCCGCTGGACTTCCCAGCAAATGACAGGAGGGGCTGGGTCCATTGTGAGGCATTCCCAATGCCAGGCAGTGGCTGGGCGGGAGGGGTGGGAGAGGTGGGAGAGGCTTAGGGAGGACTCCGGGCCCAGGTGGGCGAAAGCCACCAGGGTGGGGCCCTGGCCTGCCTCCTGAAGCACTGGGGGCGGCAGTGGCCGAGACAGGACCTTCCTCCCCACCCTGGCTGCTCACTTCGGGGTGCCCAGTACCTCAAGAGCAGGAGCAGAGACAGACTGAGACAGACAGATCCCCCATGCCCTGGAGAAGGGACAAAGGGAGGGGAGGAGGGGGGCCCAACCAGTGGCCCCAGACTACTGTCTCCCAGACAGCATAGGGGTTGGGGGGCAAGAATCGGGAGCCAGTGCATCCTCCACACCCAGGGTCACCTCAGAAACCCAACGCAACAGACAGACAGGAGGCAAATTTACATAATTAATAATAATTAACCAATAATAATAAATACTTAAACCTCTAATCCATAGATTGCAAATACAACAATGATAGCTTATTTTCTTGGGGAACAGGAGTGGGTGGGACAGAGGGAACAGGACCTTTGCTGAAAGGAGGGATGACAGGAACACAGGGTTGTGGGTGAAAAGAAGAACAAATAGAAGAAACAGCAGAGAGGGTGGCTGGGCAGGGCGGGGTGGGCACCTCCCTGGCCCTGCTCCAGGACTCCTGACTGGGTCCTGCTTGGACCACCCCTCCTGCCCAGAGAGCCCCTAGCCTCTTCCCACGGTGACTGCTAGACCCTAGGATATCTGAAGGGCAGGGGTCCCAATGGCCTGAGAGGGTATGTGGCAGGAGCAGCCAGCTGACCCACCTGGGCCCAAAAGCCACCTGTGTTTGGGGGCTGGCATGCCACCTAGAAGATACCCGGAGAGCGCCCTGGGGAAGGGTGCAAGGGAGTTTCTCTCTTGAGAGGCCCCCATGGGGCTCAGGGCAGACAAGGGGGCAGGTCCTGCGCCCACTCGCATCAGGGGCTTTATCAGGCCTACTGAAGTAATGGCGGCTGTGCCGGCACCGACTCGCCCCGTGCCAGGCACCACCTGCTCACGGAGCCCCTAGCCTGCAGGTGCACACCTGAATTCCAAGTCCTGCCTGGGGCCTTGCTAAGTGGGGACGGGCCTGGAACAGGACCCTCAGCCTACCCCCTCCTCATACCGGGGGGTGTCCAGTGCTCTCTGCCCAGTGCACCCAGGACAGGCTAGCTGGGACCCTCCTGCCTGATCCCGAGGCCAAGCTCCTCTCCTGCAGTGGTGCTGCCCTGCCTGGCAGGCCACTCTGCGGCATGGGCAAGGGAGAGGGAAGGGCAGCAGCCCTCTGGGAATGGTGTTTCTGGGCCACCCTGTGGCTGGACCAGGCCTCTGGCAGGAGTGGAGGCATGAACACCCACATCCTCCCCGGGCTCCACCTCATCTGACGCTCCAGAAGCCCTGGCCCCAAGCCCCTACACACCCTGTTCTGTTCCTCAGCCCCTCTGAACACGCTGGTACCACGAGGCCCAATGCCCATCCACTCCCGGCAGCTCTGGGGCCGCTCTGGGCAACGGGTGGCCAGGTGACCTCCCTTGCAACCAAGATTTGGCGCCTGGAGCTGGTAGAGGGCTGGCCACGCCTCTCTGGGGCACATCAGCTCCTGCTCCCCAAACCGATGGCTTTGGTGCAGAGCCCGAGGCAGGCAGAGAAGGGAGAGGGCAGAGGGCAGAGGAGGTGGGTGGGGAAAGAAGGGGGGGGTTCTGCGGCTCAGTTTGTGGCAAAGAAGTTTTTTTTCTTTTTTTTCTTTTTTTTCCTTTTTTTCACCTTTTTCTTATGTAAAAAGTGCACGAAAGCTCGGCAGCCTTTGCAAAGGTCAGCAGTGTTTCCTGGGGCGGGGGAACTGGGGGGGCCCCAGGCCTGGCACCCAGCTTGCGACTGAAGGTGGCCTCGTATTGCTTAGAAACCTGTGTTTCAGTTTAAATACCAGACAGTAAAAATAGAGCTCGAGGACCACCCGCGCTGTTGCCAAATCATTGCCAGAATGAACAGCTTAAATAAATAAAAAATCGAAATATTTACTTCTCGATAAAAATCGCAGTAAAACCATTTACCTTTCTTTGCATTATATATAATATATATGTATACCGGGCCCGGCTGCGGGCGCTGGGACCCCGCGGAGGGGTCAGGACACCTGGATGACCTCCACGCTGCCCGAGAAGCTCGCCTGCTTGCCCAGGGCAGCCAGCTCCTCGCCGCGCGCGCGCCCCTCCACCATGCTCTCCTCGAACTCCATCTGGCAGCTGCGGCGCTTGAACTGCGTCGTCTCCGGGGCCGGCTCGTCGGGCCAGCCCGTCCGCGCGTCCCGGGGCTCGGCCCTCGCCACCTCCCGCCGCCGCAGGTCGCCGCCGCCGCTGCTGCCGCCCGGTCCCGGCGCGCCCGCCCGGCTGAAGGGCGCAAACCGAGCGCCGCCCGCTCCCTGCGCGCCCTCGGGGCTGAAGCACCACGGCCCGTCGGGCGACGGCGTGCCCGGGGAGTCGAGCGGCGGCGCCCAGGCCCCGGGGCCGGCTGGCTGGCCGGGGCCGGGCAGCCCGGGCGCCGACAGGGCCGAGAGGCCGTGCCGCGGAGTCTGCCGGGCCGCGTCGCCGAAGTTCAGGCCCAGGCCGTGTGCGGGGGAGCGCGCGGGGGAGCCGGCGGGGGGCCGGGGCCGCCGGCGGGGCCGCGGGCGCGCCTCGGGCGCGGAGTCCGGGCTGTCCGGGCTGGGCGAGGGCAGGCCCAGCGCGGCCCCCGACGGGCTGTCCAACTTGCAGAGCTTCGGGGCCTCGCCGGGGTCGGGGGGCCCGGGGCCGTCGGGGCGCCGGCTGGGCGCGTAGGCCGACTTGATGTCCAGCGAGAAGGAGCGCTTGAGGCGGTTGGTGTCCTGCAGGCGGTCGGAGGAGAGGTGCAGGCCGCGCAGGCCCTGCTGCAGCGCGCTGGTGGCAGGGGCCGCCGGGGGCTCCCCACCCGCGCTCGGGCCGCCCTCCCTGGCGGTGGCAGCGCTCTCTGAGGTAGGTGGTGGCAGCCGCGGCAGCGGGGCCCCGGGCGTGGGGCTAGGCGGAGGCTCCAGCGTCCCTGACGGGGTGCCCGCGTCGCCCTGCAGGGCGGCCAGCAGCTTCAGGCTGCGCTCGTACTCCAGCAGCTGGCCCAGGAAGTTGAAGTTGGGCGAGATGGACGGGCGCCGGTCCTTCACGAACCTGTGGGAGAGGAGGCGGCTCAGCTCCAGGCGCCCCCGGGGCCAGGCTGCCCACGGGACGCACCCGCGGGCGAGCTCGTGTGGGCCGGGCTGGTCTCAGACCCCCTTCCCTTGCCCGGGGGGTCCTGGAAGGTGGGGCCCTTCTGGCCCAAGCGAGCAGCTAGGGAAAGCAGGCGACGCGGTGAGCCACAGGTGTGTGGCCGGGAAGGGCGGTACCTGTAGGCGTCGTCAGAGGACATGCCCATGGTCTTCATGATGTAGGCGATGGCGATGGTGGCGGAGCGCGAGATGCCGGCCAGACAGTGAACGATGACTTGGCAGCTGGACAGCTTGGCTTTATCTGGTCAGGTGGGCCATGGGGGCAGGTGAGGGCCCTGGGGCGCAGCTCCTCCCCGCCCCCAGTAGGAGACCCCACCTTGCCGACTGCCCACCGTCCAGGCCACTTCCCACGGACCCCTCCTGTGGCTGTGGCCACACCCAGTCCTAGCCTTCCTCCAGCCAGGCCCCGCCCTCCGCTGGCCAGCAGAGACTCACCGATGAACTCGATGGATTTGTCCAGCCAGGGCAGCAGCTTCTCACAGTAGTTGTCATTGATGGGGACCCGCATGAAGCGGCTCTCGCAGATGAAGTCCGGCTTGGGGCAGGAGTTGCTGGCGTTGAGGACGTAGCTTATTCCATTCTGCGTCATGAGATCCTGGAGGGACAGGAGGATGGGCTAGAAAGGGGTGGGAGAGGCTCCGGGGCAGGCTCGAAGGCGGAGGCTGTCCCTGCCCTGCCGTCGGGAGGGCCTTTAGAATCCTGGCTGCTCCCGGGAGCCCTGGAATTTGTCCTGAATCCCAGTGTATTGGGGTGGGCCCAGGAGGCCTCTCTGGTCTCCACCCTGGCATCCTGGGCCCGTGCGTGGGACAGGGGCAGGCTGGGCTCTGTCTGCAGGCCCTGCCCATGCCGGCAGTGGGCTCCCAGGAATGTTATGGTTGCCTGGGTGGTGGCTTTTACCCTTTTCACTTGTCACCATTTTTAAAACACGGGATTCTTTCAGAGCTGGCCAGGGGCCCAGTGACATCTGCAGCTTGGCATGCCAGCTCCAGCTCCATGCCCAGCCCTGCTATGGTCCTGCCGGGGGCATGGGTGAAAGCCTGGGGTCCTCCTGGCCCCACCCATGCTTCTCACACACCCAGCTCATGCCCTGCCTTCAGCTCTTTCTCCCCTCGTCCCTACTCCGCTGCCAAGCTGGCTCTGGAGCTCCTACCCTTTCCCGCTGATCCCCCTCCCCCCACTCTGCTGCACACACACCTTGTTGAGGACGTCTTTCTGCGAGCCCAGATAGAGGTGAGGCAGGATGCGGGTCAGTCCCACGCTGGGCACGGGCAGGCAGGGCTGGGAGAGGCTTATGGGTAGCAGGGCAGCAGGCTTACCCTCGCAGAGGCCGGGGAAGCAGGAGGAGAACGTGGCGAAGCCCCCTGTGGGAGGAGGCGGCCTGTCAGGTGGGCTCAGAGAACCACCAGGGTGCCCCATCTGCCTAGGGCACCCCATCTACTGCTGAGGATCAGTCACACCCAGCCTAGACCCGAGAGCTGGAGCCCAGCTGGCCAGCGTCTGGCCGAGCACCTGGTCTGTCTGCTGGAGGGCAGCTCTGGCTGTGGCAGGGGCGGGGGTGCTGCCACACATCCACAGCCCGGGCCCACGCCCACATTCCTCCTCACGCTAATGAGGGGCTGAGCCAGCTGAGGACGCGGCTGTGATGCCCATAAAGGTGGGGGTGAGGTGGCTGGCCAGCATAGCACTCACTGGGCCTGGGCAGGGGTGGGCGAAGAGACCACAGGGGGTCCCGCTGAGTGTGTGGGTCATGCAGCCCAGAGGAGAGGCCCTTGCCAGCTCCTCCCCCCATACCCGTGCGTGGCCTGGGGCCAGGCTAGACCTTTCTCCTCCCCGGCGCTGATGCAACGCCTCCCTGCCTCCAGCTGGCTGAGAGCCCCAGGCCCAAGCTTGGGTGCCAGGACCAGGAGGCCAGGGATTCCGAGAGGCTGTCCCCTCCCCCTCCCCAGGCATGACATCACCCTGGCACAGCCCTCGGGGCATTTGCGTCTGGTTATGGCTCCACTCCACCAAGCAGGAAAGGGAGAAGAGTGGAGAAGCCCTGGGCACCGGGGGCACTAGAGGCAGGAAGGGGGCACTCGGGGCAGGCAGGGGGCACCCACTGCACATGTGACCAGCAAGTGCCACCTCCTTCCACACACATCCAAGTCCGAGGCACGGGCTGGTGGGAGGAACTCCTCTGCCCTCCGTCGGCTGGAAAGACTGGTGCGTGAATCCCTGGGACGTGTGACTCAGTGACCATGGGCAGTGCCTGTCATGCCTCAGGTCTCCACGTCCTCACCTGCCTGCTGCAAGGCATTGTGCAGCTTCGAAAAGATGCTGGGGACGAGGACGCACAGCGAGAATGGACCTGGCTGCCCCGTCCTGGCCAAGGTGACCACTGATGCAGACCAGAAACTGGGCAGCACCCACCTGGTGGCCACCAGCTCTTGGAGGGTGAGGCCAGCACTGCGCAGCACCACCCCACCAGGGACACCTTCTGGGACATGAGCCCCCATGGCAAGCTGGCTCCTGCTGGTGCAGAACATGAGACCGCTGGGCTAAGGCCTGCCCGATCCCCCTGGAAGGGGCCGGGCTTTGAAAGCCGGGAGGGAGCTCAGGGCAGGGGGACCTCAGAGCTGTTTTGTCCTGGTTTGCAGAAGAGGCTGGTGCCAGGGACCTGGATAACCCCTGAGCATAGGGGAGTGTGCGCAGACCCCCAACCAGAATGCCTGCTGTGCCAGTTCGCGTCCCCAAAAAAGGCATGATGGTGGGGGCTGTGAAGACAGTGGAAGCTTCAGGCTGGGCGGGTTGAGGCAGCAGCCTTGGAGAAATAGTCCCTTCCCTGGGAACCTGCTGGTGGGACAGGGGGAAGCAGGTGACTTGTCACCAATGATGCCCCAGCTTGCAGGTTCCCCTGAGCAGAGGCTGGGCTGTGGCCGGCTTCCGCTCACCGATCTGAGCCGGGGAGCCCTGGATGTTCTTGATGTCTGGGAGGGCAGGGGCCGCACCGTCTCTCCGCAGACTCCTCCCTGGTAGCTGCCATCTCCCCTCTCCCTGTGGCTCTCCCAGGGATCTTGGGCCCTACTCTGCTTTCTTCAGGGCCTGGCTATAGGGAGTGGTGATGGCAGGGGGATTCCATCAGAACCTTCCCCTCTCCCACAGGAGGGAAGGCAGGAAAGTCTCTGGACAGGTACAGACACTGACCGCTATGGCAGCAATTCCCCAGGGAA